GCATTTAACCATAACTTGTGCATATGAAAGAAAATGCATCTAGCCACAAACAAACTATGAAATGATTCAGATGACTTCACTGAAAAGCATATTTTCAATTTTTAGACAGTAGAAGCTTCTCAAAAGCTGTCCTTAAAATTGCAGGTGGTTTGACAATCCACCTGGCAGTTCCAGGTGCAGACCTTCAGAAAGGGTCAGAGTCTGTTTCAGTTTAGTGAGGCTCCACAGGACTCCAAGCTTGGAGTGAATGTTTCCACTGTTTTTAAAGGGGTTTTATTTCTAGCTTTAAAATGAAATTGTGCTCCAAAAAGCAGTTCTGCAGATCTTGTAATTTGCTCTCTACACATTTCCAGTAATGATAGCTTATATTGATTGTTTTTGTACTACTTCATTTAAATCCTGTTAATAGTGCCACAGAGCTGGGAAGACTTGAGGCTGTTTTCTGCCACAGCTAATATCTACGCTATTGCTCCTTCCAGTTTTGCAGTAGACCATTACTGCTGTTTGAGCAAGAATAAAACAGACTCCTGCAAATGCAAAGTTACAGGTTCAGAGTTGTTGGTTAGAAGAGAAATCATTTAAATCAAACTAATCGATTGGAGGAGACAGTATGGCTAAAACTTTGCAGTAGCAGGTGCAGTACTCAGTGAGTAAAGCCCCCTTTAAATTTCTTTGCTTGCTAACTGTTGCCTTTTTTAAAAAAAAGCAAGTGTGTCTAATTTAAAAACTATTGATTTTTGCAAACTGAAATTACAACCTAGATACAGAAGGTTGAGAGGCAAACTCGTTATATGTGGTTGCTTTTTCTACAGGGTTTGTTGATGATATCATCCAGCCTTCAACCACCCGCAAGCGCATCTGCCATGACCTAGATGTGCTGGCTAGTAAAGCACAGTCCAGTCCCTGGAAGAAACATGCTAATATCCCACTCTGAAAGTGAGAAGGGACTTGCCATGCTGCAAGACGTGGCAGCGTTCTGAATACAAACACTCTCTGTTTAAGTGGAGTTCTACTATGCAGTAGAAATACTTTTCTTCATTTTGATTTTGCTAATAACAATCATCAATAAATCGTAGTATGTATTATCTCGTTTAATCTGGGATCATATCAGTTCATCTTTATAAACAACACAACTGGCAATGCCTGCTGCAATGGAGCTGTTACTAATTGCTCAAGTTCAAACGCTCCCTTGGTGTACTTTGTTCCTTTGGCCTGGAAGGTGGCTCAGACAGACAGGCAGGGCTGCAGTGACTTCTCACCACTGAGGGGTTCAGGCATTTTTTGAGTTAAAATCTAGCCCTAGATCCACTTTTGCAGTCTGGCTCTGCTTCCTGCACCACAGGACCACAGCCTCAACCCAAGAAAAATGTTGGGCTTGGATTGTAGTGCACTGGGATCTGAACTTTGCAGATCTCTAATTTGTTCTGTTCCTGTGCTGGCCTTTTCTGAGTTGCAACTTTTACGTGATGGTTGAAGCAACACTGGCTCTCAGGTTGGTATCAAGTTACCTTTAGGCTGCAGGCATATGGGAGATATAGAGAAGATAGAGACAGACTCCTCTTGAAGGACAACAGGCAATGCGCCCAACTTCGAAAAAGGTCAGTCAAAAGTCTTCTCCCTGATCGTGGGGCACCCAAGGAACTTGGAAGTTAGCCCTTCAGCAGGGGGTTGGAATGGAGAGCGCCAGAGGTCCTTTCCAACCTAAATTTTTCTGTGATTCTTTGCCAGACTTGCAAGGAACAACAGCTGATCAGCCCTGGGTCCTGTGCTCACTCTGCTCGTTACAAGCTGCATTGTAACTACAGCCTCAGAAGCCAGAGAGTCGTGGCTATCATCATGTTTAGCACTACTGCAAACAACTACCAAGCAAGCGAAGTCCTGCAATGACCTGTCTGTTTTGAGTACCTCAGTAATTAATGGCACTATGTTATAAGACAGAGAACCACCATACCTGCATACCACAGCTGCTTCTGTCTACTCCCCAAGCATGTGTCTGAAGCGGAAGAAAAAGAGAAGATGGGGCTTCCAGGTAACACTTCTTCCCAGGTAGGTGCACTGGTGCACTAGTGGCTACAGCCACAGAGCCTGGAGACTGTATCCACAAAAAAAAGAAGAAGAAAAAAAGCAACAACTAAAAATCATCCGAAAAGCAGTACAGGAGGAGTGTTTCATATCTGAATCACAGCGCCACACGTTTCTGTGATAGCTAGAGGCAATGGATTTGGGTTACAGTTAAACGGTCTGTCCTGGCTGCAAGGACATTTAAGGTGGCTGCATGAATGTTCCTGGTTGCATCTCAGCAGACAAACTCTCTGAGCATGGATGTCTGCACCCACTGCCCCAGGGAACAGAGAACATGCTGCAACAACAAGGCAAGGTAAACCAAAACATAATTATGTTGGGGGGTCATGCTATGAAGTGAGTTCTTAGCTGTGACGGAAAGTGTAGTTTAAGCTCATAGGAGTTGCTCAAGGACCAAGGTGATTTTTCAAGGCATGAAAGGCAAGCCCCCAAGTTGTGAGGCAAAAGTTTTCACAAAAAGAGTTATGCACATAGGTTCTTCAGCCTGACCAGAGTCAAAAAGAGACACTGAGAACCCCAACGGCAGTGGCACAAAGAAAAAGTACAACCTTTCTTAATGGTTTCCTAACCTCATTAGTTACAGCCTTCATCTTCTCTTCTGCCTCTTGCCAGCACAAGAACGTGGCTTCTATATCCAGTTGATTTCCAAGCACTCAGCCGCTCTACCAGCACACCACTTTGGAAGCACACTGGAAGGCTGCTCTCGCCACACTACTCCAGCTTCTTTTGAATGCCAGTCACCTGCAGAAACAATAGATTTAGAATAAAAACCCTTTCAACAAAGAGCACTCCTGAACCTAAAAGTAGAACAAGCTACTATTGTGTTCCATTTTGCATCAAGAGTTGAGCATAACTTACAAGTGGTTGGAGATACAACATTCAGGCTCTGTGTCTCAGGAGTAGACCTAGAGTGCAGTCCAGACCTTGAATCCTAGCCCAGTTCCTCACCTGCTGGATCTTGTTGCTTTTTCTGTATCAGATGATTTTTCTTTAGGAAGCAGGCCTAGATGATAAATAAGTCAATTTTCTCTAGTGCTTCAGAAGTGAAATCATTCATGAGAAAAATTGTACAACTTTCTCTCAGACAGAGGAATAACAAAAGGATGTTTACTTTGGTGAAGCTGTAAAACTTCATTTAGCCCAGCTGGGTTGTTAGACCTTCCACACTTTACCACTTCCATTTCTGCTTATGTGGTCCGGCGCACTCGTGACTTCCATGACGAAGAGTGAATTTTTCTCAAAGTGTGTGATAGTTCAAGCAATTATAAGCGTTTCAGTACAGGAAAGAAATAACTCTGCAATTTTTTTTTTTTTTCAACAAGGCAAATCGCCAACTCACATGATGATGACTTTCCAGATTTACAGCAAGCGCGCAATAGAATGCCCCAGGCCAACCAAAACCACACTGCAGTGGGGCAGGGGGAAGACCAGCTATGGTTTTTCCTTTCTCTAAGGCTGAATGTGAGAGAGAGCTATAACGAAGCTTGTGAAGCCTGGACTATGTGAGAACTACCTTTCAGTAGGTCCTCTGGATACTATTGAATGGAATGACAAGATGTGATGGCCCAAACTACTAATTTAAAAGGATGTTATAGTGAAGAGGGTGCTCATCATACTCATGATTTTGAATAGTTTATTAAATGAAAGGTGAAGCATCAGTTTTAAATTGTACAAAAGGAAAAAAAAAAAACCTCATATTGTAAATGTACAATTTACAGAATTACTAGCAAAACCAATCAAGGAGACACTCATAATACAAAAAAAAAACCTGTTGACTGCAAACTGAACTGGAAACCCATTGCAGGTACCGTGATAATAAATGTTTGTTATACAGTATTCTACAATGTTAAATTAGGAATCAGTTTTCCATACAGAGGACTGTGAAGCACAAGGTTTGTCTGAGACTGTGACTCAAACCAGGCAGCATTTATTATGCTACTATGCTCACAGAAGTATCGTACTGACAGCTTAATACAGCCGTTCCTACCTACCCCCTAATCCCTTTGGGGGTGGACAGAAGAGGAAGGGATGTAACCTGTTACAAAGCAATGTTCCAGCTACTTCTCAGGCTTTTTACGTTACCCAACCAACATCTGCTAAGGAATGGCTGAATTAGCTAGTCAAACATTTTTGGCAACCATGTCTGTCTGAGAACTGTATATGTGCTAAGAAACAAACCTCAGCTGAGTGAAATGCTGATTTGTTTTTAAAATTAGGTTCGTTTCCCTCCCAGCCAGTAAGCACTGGGTATTAATGTTGTTTTGTTTTTAAATAAGCTTAATAAGCTTGTAAAATGGAGAGAGAGAGAGAGAGAGAGAGAGAAAAACCCAAAAACAAACCCCAAACCTCCATGATTATTTTGCAGTTGCTTTAAAAAAAATTAAAAAAAAAAAAAAGCACCTCTAAAACAGCTGTGCTCCAAGTGGGTCAATCTGCTTTGTAGCTCAAATGCTAATATTAGAATGCAGAAAGGAAGATTAACATTTTGGGCTGAGTTCTTAGAGATACTAGAGTCAGTGCAAGTCATGGATGGCCAGCACCTCTGATATCAGGCCAGTTTTAACTACAGTAGCAGCTACTAGGCAGAGTCATAAAACTGAAGCATAACAAAATTCCAAATTATTGAAGACATTGAAAAAAAAAAAAAAACTCTTATTACAATGAATTAGCTGAGAATGTTTTGGGTTTTCTGTTTTTTTGATGTTTTTTAGTTTTTTGAAAAATCATATTTTTTTTTTCCAAAGAATTATTCTTAATATGCACAGTTAACACTGAAAATGTAGCTGTATTCCATTGTAAGCTTAAGAACCTCACCATCTAAGCACAAATTTCTATGCAGCACATACAGTACTTCTAACTGGCAAAATTAATTTACAAAAATAGCGCAAAAGGGTATTTACGGCATGGAAAGTAGACTCTTTTTTTTTTTTTTTTTAATGGTACAGTTAAAATTGCTTTTAGTATGCTAAAGTGATTCCTTTCCCCCACCCTTGAATTGTTTGTTTTAATAGGAAAGTTGCTGTTTATGTACCTTGGGTTGGCAGGGCTTGAAGTAGGTAGTAAAAACAGCAAAGTGATTACTTGAGAACCGTTTGTGTGTTTTACTGAGAATACTTTATTTGCTGGTATAAGTTGCTAAAAATGCACAGAGCAAGTACCAATAGAAAATTTACTGTTTTTGTGTCCCCATGTGCTATATAAAATGAATGTTACACAGCATCTGTTGGAAAAGTGGCTTCATGGACATCTCTTTCTTTATGTCCCATTATAAATAAAAATAAATCTTCTCAAGAGTATAAAATCTGGGTTTATCATATCAGAATCTGAAATTTTTTGGCAGAGATGCACGTCATTAGAATTCTAACCTCTTCTACAAGAGTGTTCTTCTCAATGCCTATGAGAGGATATAAGCGTACCATAATGTTAATCAAATCCAGTGTGTTCAAAAACACGTTTCTGTAGCCAGAATGACCTGCTTATAGCATCATTGCTAGTCAATGGCTGATAGGCATAGGTTTAATAAAAATGGCTAGCTTTTAAAACATAAAAAGGCAAATGTTAAAACTGTTTTAAATTGTACAGCAGAAAAATAAAGTTAAAAAGTTCTGTTTTCACTCAATGTTGTTTTCAGAAAACATATGTAGAACAGTGTTTATTTTGACAGCTGTCTTAACAATTTAAAACTTCCTCCTCATCCAGGAAAAAAAAAAAATCTGTATTAGGACAGTCAAGAACAGGGATACAAATGATTTTTTAGGTCAGCCTTTCTGAGGTGACGGGATTGGCCAACATTCCTTTGTGTCATTAAGAAGTTCCTCTTCTTTCGCTCACTACAAAAAAGGATTGACCTTAATCATTTGGATAAAAATCAAACCGTATCACATCAAAAATGTGGTTTTCATACAAGCTATCACAGTATATAGGCCTCTAGCTCTAAACAATAGAGTTCCAAATTTGTAAAATGTCTTCACCAGACTTCAGAACATAGGCATTCCAAATCCCTAGAAAAATGATTTAAAAGACAGTAATTAATTAGATGTAATAATAATAGAAGAGAACCTCAGATAAATAGCAAGCAGGGTGAGTAAAGTCTTACTGAATCATCCTCGATGATAGCTGCGGAGTCGAAGAAGTCTGGCCTCAGTTCAGCCCGTTCCCGTCGGTTTCTTGAAGGTGGCTAAAATGATGAGTCAGCTATTTTAGTACAGCGTATCAGCTATCTGGATAGAAATGATTGGTATGACTCTGCAGCTAATGCATGCAAACATTTACCGCTTCCTTTACAGAGCAGCTTTGCGTGGCTTTCCATAAAAGCTAAGACACAGGCCCTGACACAGGCGAACGCTTCTTCAATTCAGCTTTTATTTAGGGATGGGGGGGGGTTAAAGCTGATGGATTCTAAAGTAATCTAAGTCTGGGCTTACAGCTAAGGACTTACTTTAAGGCTCCTGCTGACTTAAGGATGTTCTTATATTAGGACTATAGGTAGGAACCACATAAAACTTTCTGCCGTACGCTTTTACATTCATGCTGAAACTCCAGCTCTGGCAGGATCAAAAAAATTGATTTAAAAAAAAAAAAAAGGCACTTAAGATGTCATAATATTGCTCAGGCCTAAGCCCTTTGTGTTGTCCTCCCCTAGGAACATTAGGGTAAATCTGAGTTTCGCGGGCTTGATCTGTTCCTTCATTTCCTTCTCCTTGGCTTACCAGTAAAAGAGAGGTTTTTTTTTTCTTTTTTTTCTTTTTTTTTTTTTACTTACTTGATACTCATTTGCATGCTAGCAATAATCTCAGTATTCAGCAGCAGCAACTGAATTATTGCCTACATTGTTCTTTCCAAGATATTATAGCCCAGGCCTAAAACAACCTATACCTTGTAGTATGAATATGAGAGGAGAAATATGAAAGCATGAGAGGAAAAAAAAAAAAATCCAGCAAACTGATCCTCTTTCCCATTTTACAAGAAAAGTATTCATTCAAAACAGAGATGCTAGTAACACTGTAATCTTTACAAAAGAAATCATGCCTGTAGTCAGTACGTTACCATGAAAGGACCTAAGGTTGCAGACCGACAGACATCGTTACCTGTTTGGGAGCAGGACCAATGTAAAGTATTGCCAACTCATGGCCACCCAGTACTGCCGGCTCTTCCTTCTGTTGTGCCAGCACAACTCTGTGCGGCTGTAAACTGGCCTGGCCCTTGATTAAGGACACCCTTCCCTCCCTCCCCCTCCAAGAGGAACCAGAAGCAACTCAGCTGGATCAGTCAAGACTGCAGCGTGGCTGCACAAAGAGCTGTGCCAGCCAGAAAATGAAGAATGGGTGTTAACAGTGGCACAGGGAAGAAAACAACACCTGAAATACTCTTAGGTGTTTCTGTTTCTAGACTCTTCAAAACATCAAACCACAACCTGAAACAAACATTGTAACTGCGTTTTAGAGAGGCCATTTCTACTCGTGATGGTGAGGATGCACCTTCATGTAGTATTTGACCAATATGATAAGCTGGTCTCACCTCTGTCCCCACCAGCACGCCTAGCCTTGCCTGGATTTAGCACTTGTCTGACTGCGCAGTGAGTGAGACTGGCTACGTCTTTAGCTCTCCCTAGAGAGGTCTGAACGATGCACCTGATAGGCTATAAATCATGTCCTAACTTCTGTATGTAGACAAGTTCCAGGTGCGTGATGGTGCTTTAGGCATCAGGTACACGTTACTGCCTGAGTCCAGACTGTTAGAGAGGAAGAGTGCTAAGCATGCTTGTGTTTCTATGAACAGAAAATCGATTGGGCATAGGTTTGCAGTGTTAGGCTCTAGGGAGCCTCCGTTCTGGTTATTTCCACTTTTTTTTTTTTTTTTTGATATTCAGACAACAGGAAGTCAGGCTTGTAACTCTGTTTTTTTTTTTGTTTGCACTTTTAAAATTCCTTTTAAACTATCCTTCTCCATTTTATCAAGATCTACTGACCAGATCAATGACCATTGTGTCCTCAAATTCTTCGTTCATATCCTCTAGCTGACCTCGTGAGGACATCATGACATCTTCAAAGATGGGCTCAGCATCATCTTCCATTAAACCTCGTCTGATTAGAGAAAGGAATAAAAGTCATCATCCAGGCATTTAACTCTCTCAACCTTGAGTTTTGTCATTAAAAACAAAGCACAAATACTATTCCTTTACCTCTTCACAAAAAAACCCTCTGCTGAGAACAAAACCAACATGCTTTCTGTAATATTAACTGGAATAAAATCTCATGTTAAAAACAAACCTACCACTTGAAGAGGCTGAAGCAGGAAGTCCAGTGTAGTATCATAAACTAAACAGTTTAAACTAAGCAGTTAAATCTGTCCCTAACAAGAAAAGGGCAATAACCTTACTGTATTTGCTTGCCTTTTAACAAGCTGGGAAGGGAGGAGGGGGTCACAGTTTGCCAAGGTCATTGGTAAGTCCCTAGGAATCCACCAATGAGTCCAAGACCAGTTTCTAATGCTGTAAGGACTTGAGCTCGCTACAGACTGGTGCCTGTCCTGAAAAGTACTTATGTGCTGAAAGACTTGGTTGGATCAGCACCAGAGCACATAGCACCTCGTAGAGCAAGGCGTCAGTGTTCACCCCAGTGTGTTCCCTCCATTAGCTGCCCAGTGGGACACGCTTTGGCAAAGGATGACGTGGATGAAAGAAGCTTACACAGGCTCAAGGGAAGACTGGACAGCTACTTGGAAGAGAAGTTCATTGTGAATTACTTAATAGACAAATCACAGTGCTTCAAGGAAATCCCCTGAAATGAAAATAGTTGGAAGGCTGGGGAAGGATTAGGGGGAAGCGTACCATATATGTCTGCCCTGTTCACTAGGCACCTGCTTACGGTCGCTGCTGGACGCAGAACACTGGGCTAGAGGGCCACATGTTCCAGAGTCCATCCCAGCATTGCAAAGCTGTTACTCTGCCTTTAGTAAGAAGAGTTAAATGTCACAGAAATTACTAGCAATTACCCCAAGACGTATAATTTAAAATGAGGCGTTGTCAGCTAAAACAGTTCTGATCTAGAGATGACGATGCTCTGAACACTTACACTGCATGCCTGACACCAGTTCTCCCTTTCATGTAGTTCATTCCTGTCCTGTCCTTTCGATTTAAATCTTCTAGCTTCTGTTGGCCCAACCAAGATATCTGCATCTGGGGACTAACAAACATAAAGCAGCATTATGACTGAGAACACTAACAACTTTGAGTTGGCTACTTTGAGACAGTATCTCCTCAAGTTTTGTGTCTGGGCATGCTTCAGATGAAAATATTTAGATCACATCCATCATTGCACACGACTTCTGGATTCCCTTCTGCAACTTGTCTCCTCTCACTGCATGTGCACAAAAAAATCCATTAAGTGTTGTAATAAAAATGGCTACATAACATGCTAACATTACTCATTCATTAATGTGGCATGCATCTGGAGGAGGAGCACTTTAAAAATTCATTTTATTAAATCCTACTTCACTGCCTCAGATCAGGCAAAATAGGAATAAGAACAGATCCAAATTAATAACTGACATACATACATTTTAAAAGACATAAAAATGTCACAGGAAGTGAAAAAACAAACTGCTTTTAAAAATACAGCCCTGATAAACTTAAGTGTCCAGTAACTTATCCATACCTGAAAGGCTGGACTTTCAGGAACACCTAAATCCAACAGTAGACAGCAATGCATTATGATGTGATGTGTATATTGCAGCACAAACAGAGATAACAGTAAAGTAAGTGCAAATCTTCAAAAGCAACGCCAGTTTTTATTCCTTTTAGGTATCTCGGACCCTAGCAAGACGTGACGCAATAAACTGGGGTAACCATACCGATGTGAAAACAAACCAAAACAAAATACTCTCCTGGACACGATTAACCTCTTTTGTTCAGAAACTGACTGCTCTGTATTTATTTTGGATCCTCATTTTCAGAGGCATTCAGTGCCTGGTGTTAGATGCCTATACACAATCAAGCCTCTAGTTCTAAGTGACTTTCAGTAGGACACCCAGGATCCTTGGGCTCAAGTCACATGAGGATTGAGGGTCAGCACGATCCAGCCTTATAGCTACCTTGAGGCTCATATGAGACAGTATGTTGAATAGGAAGCTAAGCTGACCTGTAGGAAACGTGTGGAAGAACAGTTAATTCTAGTCGGAAAGGACGTGATTCTCCATTGTCAGTTCAGACCGTGAACTTGCATTGGGGATCCAACTCTTTGAAATAGCAGAGAGGAGAGTGCCTTTACTCAATATTTCTGTGGCTGCAGCATTCGTCTGAGATCACAGAAACAGGTTTAAACCCAGGATTTAAGGGGAAGGAATCTGGTTACACAAAGGATGTGAACTCAGTTCTCCCACATCTCAAGGCAGTGCCTACTCATCAGGCTCCGGGAGGTGTAACACACTGGGAATGGAAACTGTCTCACTTTCTGTAGCTACTTAAACGTTCACAGAGAGGGACAGATTTAGCTTAGTGGTCAGCGCACTCAGGCGAGACAAGAGAGGGTCAGGAGCAAGGCTCTGCTTCAGCAGCTTTCCTTTGTTTTTAATGCAGACTAGAAAAACTTCAAGGAGAAACCAAGAGCCACATGAGTCTTCCTTATAACCTAGCTGTTACGGCAACTTCTGGGGAGGCAGGAGAATGGGAAGCAAATCCTTGACCCCAGTAAGGCAGGTAAGAGATATGAAGCCAGATCTCCCACCCTGTAGGTATAAGGGAAAAAAAGATACCTTGAGATTGACATGACCTGGGGCTCACTCCCAGCTGTGCTTTGTATGTGGCCAACAGGGATTTTCTACCAGACTGAACTGCATAGGGGGAAAAAATCCAAGCCCAGGCTTGCCTTGTGTTCACGTGGTTTACATGCCAGACCACGGTCCTTCCAGACAGCACGAGGTGGGAAAACTTGAGCCCAAGCTAGCCCTTTGCACTGGAGCGCACAAATCCCTGCTTGCAGTGTAGACCACTCAGGCCAGCCCTACCATCCCACCTCACACTGTCTTGTGGTGATGTCACATGGCAGGACTTATTTATAGAAGGGCCAGATACTATGAGCTACAAAAATTAATGGGTATTTGTAGCCAGCTGAGCTGCAGGTTCTCTCTTGTAGGGAGCACTGAGTCATGGATCGCATCAAGGTTTAATTTGTTGCACTGCTGATGCCTGCGCGTACACGTTAAACACACAAGCAAGGGAGAAGAATATGTTATCCTTTTGGAAGAGTACAATTCTTTAGAAGTTGCTCAGACTTTATGTGAGCCTGTGGTCACAAACGGGCAAACTTTAGTAGCTTACATGTACCACACAGCGGTCTATGCATACCCTAGTCATCCAAGCCTGGAGAACATTTTTACTTTAATCATTATTAATAATGATTGCTATATGGTAAATACTATCATTAGAGAACTCAGGATGAAGCAGTAAAGTTTAGGATGGAGGAGGGTAAGTGCACATTCAGGAAGAACGGGGAAACTGGTGCAATGTGTTTCAAGAAAAGCTTGATGCACAAAAGCTGGGAGAAATCCAAGACACACAACCTGGCTATTTCCTATTATACTACATCGGTAGAAACCTGATTCATCCGGCTAGTGTACTCTGCCTTTTTTTAATACAAATAAGCCAGATCAGTAAATCTGGCTATACAAGTTACAAAAATACTCTACAAAACAAATACTGTTATTCTGTAGCTTAAAATAAATAGAAATAGCCCATAAGAGCGTTCTCTGAAGACTTCTCTGTGTTCTTAAATGAACTACTGACAAATAGTAACCAAACCCCTTTTCCCCGAATGGATTTAAATGGAGTTGATAAAAATGGAGGTGAGTGACCAAAAGTACATATAATTTAGGGCAAAATAAATTGCCTGTGGGTAATTACCCCAGAAACAACAATTATTAACTCGGCAGCTAGAATAAGACTGAAGAGTTAACGTACGAGAAATTGTTAAGATATCTGCCAAACCTTAACTGCACTATGACATGGGGCAGAGGGAAAGAAAAGAGAACATCTAACAGGTCTTTAGAGAAACAGTTCAATCCCCCGGGGGCCACAAACACTAGGAAGATTTAACCATAACCATATGGCTATCCTATGAGATAATTTTAACTTAAGGAATTTCTGCCATGATTCCATTACGGCATACTTATCCTGGGAATTTAAAATAATCAACGTATGGCCAAGCTACAAGCAAGACATTTCCAGCTGTTTTTGCAAATAAACACTGCATATCTGGAGCCACAGACCATCTCTATAACTAATGTGTGGCTCCTTTGCTTGGCTTACTATATTTGATACTGAAATTCCAACACTTACTTGTGTAAAAAATCTTGTTCAGATCCCTGCTCTGACTCATGCTCCTGGATCTGCTCTCCCATTTGTCTAGTGTTCTCTCTCAAGACAGTTGAGGTGAGCTGCGGTGCTTGCAGTGTCCCTGGAGTATGTATGTTTTCATTCCTGTTCAGCCATGAGCCTTCTAGACTCTCATCTAGAGAAAAAAATATTTAAAATTACTGATACATTTCTGATAATACAGTGAATTTATGCAGCGCAGTATTAGGGTTGTTCAGAATTCATTTAGTCAACTCACTGAATGAATACCTCCCATCACTAATTTAGGCCTTCCATCTATTTCTACGCTTCAGTACGGTTTATTTCAGTGGCAGCACCTTCTGCAAATTTATATTTTTACTAGTTTAGTATCTTAAAAGACAAATGGGAATTTAAGAGGTCAACTAGATACACATGCAAAATGATCAATTTTTCAGCTCTAATTTAACTTTGTGTTCTTATGAGGCAGGATTACATCGTCTTATGCCAAAGAATTTCTGTTCAGCTACCAGTTATTCCTAGCAATAACAACAATTTAAAGAGGAAATATTTAACAAACAACAAAAATAACCAATACAAACAAATACCGTATTGCAGCACTGCCTAAATTGCCAGGTGTTAAATGCACACATTTAACAAAGATGATTCCCACATAATGAGTCTACAATCTAAATATAAGACAGTTAATCTCTCATGCATACAACAAACAAGTTAAACGCTAAGATGAAGGTAGAAATCTGGTCAACACAGATCTTTAGAAACTTTTGTGAGAGCCATTTAGAGTACAGTGGGGACGTTTTGGGTAAGAGGCGAGGTCTGGCTGGTGTGAACTACAGTGATTTCAGATTTACATCAGGGAAACTGGCATTAGATTGGTCACTGAGGATGGTAGATGCTGACATTGGGAAAATCCCTGAAATTTAAAGATCCCACTTATTCCTATGGTGTACTGAAACAGTAAATACATATTGAGATTAAAATGAACTACTTCCTGCAATTTCACACAGATTAGCCAGGTGCAGATGCCATCATAGTCAAATTCTTGATTAACACTCTTCAAGTCACAGAAACAGCAAATACAAACCCTGCATATCAATACCATTTTAAATTAAAAAATGTGTCTTTTTAGTGTTCTCCAACGTTCCTGCAGAAATACTGATCTGTATCAGAATTTCTGCTTTGGGTTTACTGTGACTGAACAACTGCTCCAGACTGAAACACAGGTAGAAAAACAGAAATCCATGACTGAGAAAGGTACAGCGCAAGTCACTCCACAACTGACTCCTGTCAATAACAGCTTTAAATATGCTTTATAATATTTATAAATCAATTATATTATTAATATTATTAATCAATTATTACATTCTTGATTAATATAAATATAATATTTATAAATATTTAAATATGAATGTGCAAATCTCCATGTATATACACAAGAATAGGGACTTGCCCTGTTATTTCCCATAAAGAAGTGTTCCAAGTTCGGTAGGCATTTGCATTGTGTCTTGTTTTTACTACATACAGAATATACCTTACCTTTCAGCATTAACTGATAAACCATAAAGACTTCAAAGAAGGAAAGCAATAATTTATACAGAAAATGACAAGACAACGTAAAGCCATACAAACCTTCCACTCTCTTTTTGTGGAGCGGTGGTCGTCCTTTCTTATTTCTCACCGAAGAGGCTTTGCTGCTACTGCTTCCACTGTTAACAGACATTCTATCATCCTCGCCACCCGTAACTAGTGAGTTTCTATAGGAAATTAGCGGAAGCCATACGTCTTCTCTTCTTTCCATCATTTGCTCTGTCAGAAACTTCTCTAAGTAGGAGTGACTGAAAATAGGAGACAATGAATAGAGAGGTTCACAGCATATTGTTTCCTCTTTAATTAGTCTGCAGGGCCTCTTCATATCCTTGAGAGCTTTAAAGAAATCCCACATGGTGTTTCCTTATTTTAATTTTAAAACATATGCTGATAAGGCATCCTGTACCTCTGACTGAATAGGAATACATGTCATTCCTTCAAAGACAAGTAACATAGTTAATAGCGTAAAGGTTACTCATAGATAAATAATACAAAATGTTCTCTCTCACAGCATCCTCCTCCCACGTTTGTCTGCAGTCGTTTGCAGCACACTGTAATTAAATTCCTTTTCTATTCTGCATATCAAGAAAGCCACTTCTATGTATTGCTGCCATGTAAACAGACAGACCGAACTGGAACTACTATTATGGAAATGTAGGACGTTCTCTGGCATTTTGGAACAGGAAGAGAATGGTTTCCTCAAATGCAAGCACTTATTTTTCAGTGAAAAAAACTGGAGATCTGTTCAATTGCAGTGGAAGAGTCCAGTGCACATTTATTAACTTATGCACATTTACTGACTTAGGGGAGACATCAAACAACCTCCCTCTTGTATATGGTCCGGAGGGCATTTGAGTTGTTTTATTTTTCATTGGTTATTTGATTGCGCTATCAGAGGTAGTCCTCAAAATGAATATGAGAAGCCACATAAAAGTGATTCTAATGAGCGTTCTTCCAGCTTCAAAACTGAGCGTTCAGAAGTTAGGCAAGACAACTAAGGACACCCTTGCAGCATTTCTTCTATTCCTTTCGGCAAGCACACTATGCAGCCTTTAATCGTGATTTCATTCAACACCACATTGCCAGGTTGTCATCAGTAGGAGTCAAAACCACCAGCTCCGCATGGAAATGAACTCTGCCTCTCCCTATCACTCCGTTAACTCAAGGCAGGCTCAAACTTCTTGCACAGTCTGAGAACAGGATAAGGAGCCACACTATGTATGCCTGGGTAACAGTCGCATCCAATTTTTCAATGGGATTTTGTTTTGATTCAGTGAACAGGATGACTTTGCTATGGAAACAGCAGTTTTTATGACAACTGTTTTATTCAGCATTCTGACTGCTGCTTCTTTCTCCATTCTCTATCAGTCTGTCCATCTATATACTGAGAACCATCCAAACTTTGCACTGAACGAGGAATTCTTGGTTTAGTCTCTCTTCTACAGTGTCAAACATCACAACGTTTGAGTGCTTCATGAATTTAGAGAACTTATCTGCAGAATAATCTGGGAAATTAAGAAGTATTCCTGCATCCAGTTGATATTTACACAACCAGAGTGCACAGGTTATGCCCAAATAGTGAAGAAAGAAAAAAATACATCAATTGGGGGCTCCCTACTGACTAGGCGCCCAATTTCAGACAACTTTTGCTCAGCATTTTAGAGGAGTTGCGTACTGGTAGTTCCTACCATCTTCAACTGGGATACAAACTCTGACCTTCTGAAAGTAAGAACACCCTGCTGAGGCTCCATCTCATCTGACTTCAGACATCCAATAATTAAACTAAGCTGTCTCCATCTGAGTGAATGAAGTAAGTGCCTCCAGCGGGCAATTCACCTCCACTGTCTCAGATGAATTTCTCTGGACTTCCCTGCCTGTATCTGTCCTGTGTATTTACAACTTGGTTAGCGTTAAGTCTTTTTCTAGTAACAGTCTGGCACCCTAAATGCACCTTTTAAAATAAATCCATAGATTTTAATAAATTCATAAATTGCTATCACTAATTCTGGAGGTTAGTCATAAAATGAGAAGTCAGATAAATAAACAGGGCAGAAAAACTAAATTAAACCAGTGCTGCTGCCCTGCCCCCAAACTGAAAACATCTTCATTTTCCCCTCAAATAAAGGAACAGCAGTAAACCAGAAAGGAAGTAGAAGCCCTGCAAGAGAGTGGTGCTTACTACACTAACTGTGACAAGAACGGCATTTTGCACGAGGGCAGATGACATATGCAGATATATCAAGCAGTTAATTCATAGTTTTGAGGTAGGGAAGCCAAGCTGGAGGACTCTGGGAGACAGGCAGCTATGCTGATGAGACTTTCAGGGTTATCCTAGGGCACTGCTGCCTCCAGACTAACAAGCCCCTCGCTGAGTGTAGGACAGTCATTTGGCGGAAGGAGATCAAGCCAGGGAGGGAGGTAAATGATCCTGTACGCAGGACTTCTCCACCAGATGGTGGTCATGTACCTTCTTGTTCATAGGCCACCCCTTTGCAGGGAGGGGGAGAGGTCCCTGTGGATTGGAGGAGTCATGCTACTGAGAAAGGCAAATCAACTATCTAGAGTATAGCTGAGTGTGTAATGCCAGCGAAGCACTATGGGCAATGCATCCATTGCCTGATGGGTGCAAACACAACAGATCTCACAAGGGACTGAATGCAGATCTCTCCAACAGAAATCTTTACATATAAGCAAATTATCTTGATTTTTTTGCATAGTCAACACAGCCAATGGAACCTAGCGCACGTCTGAACTCATCTTAAAGTAGTAATTTAGCACAGACCAGATAAATCATGCCCTAAAGGGCCCATTTCATTTCGCTGATCTTCAAATGCAGCTGAAGTAAATAGCTCAAATACAGAAGACTACAGTAAAGACAGCTAAGATTAGGAGAAGTGGATCCCGCTGCAGGAATGTTTGGAGTCCTGAGAAAGAACACCAATGAGCGAGGGGAGGAGGAGAGGCTTGGAGGAACGATTTTAAATGGTAAGGTAGAAGGCTAAAGAAAAAGATCTCCATGGTAATATTCCCTGAAATAATGAATTTCGTGCACTGGATCAGGTCAAATTAGGCTCTCAAGTAAACTGCATAGAACATGATACAACTCTATTAAATAGACACCGGAGAAACTTGTGGAATGGATGAAGACTGTACAGGAAGGAAAAGCTCCATCAAATTAGAATTAGGATACTGACACTTAAACTACCAGGTACAGGAGAACCTATGGTTCAGCTAGGAAGGTTGTCATAAAATCGGAGTATTCTTAAGTCCCGTCCTAAAGAACAGGACACAGGTTGGCAAAATTCAAGGATGCAAAAATGAAGAGCAGTCTGAAAAATTGAGTCCCAATCTAGCTCAACTGGATCATCGAATTCTCCAATTGGTTTAACCCTTGCTCTTATTGTTTTAGCCGAATTGGCAAATTATTGATACATGCTAAATTAATAAAAGATCAAATTGGTTTAGGTGTGTATACATTAACATTTATGCAAAGTTAACCAAGATGCAATTCTTAGAACAAGCCGAGAGCTATAATATTCACAATTGTTAACCCTATAGAAAAGCCCTTTAAAACAAATGACTTCATAGAAAAACTGCAGAGAAGTCTGACAGAAGGAGTCAACTGAGCTAGTTAGAGCAGATATGTATGACTTTAACCCACTGTGCTCAGAAAATCAACTGGAAAGATATCTATAAGCCTAAATTGGAAAGTCTGGCTATTGCATTTTTTTAAATGATCAGAAGTTTATTCAAACAGTTCAGTTCTACAGTGGGCACAAAGCTCTCGGATGATGCTTGACTGCACTCTCCTCCGTTTTTCCCTTACTGCTACTACTGCGCCATGGCCAAATCCTGGATATTTACTATACAGTGTATTAGAAATCTAGAGCTTCCTGCTCTAGATTTCCTTCTCTTCCT